AAAGAATTCAAGTCTGTTGCTAATTTACATCATATGAATTTTATTAGCAATACATATATCAGCTTTCCAATTAGCTGCTTCTTGGTGCCACATTAAATTACTGGTTTCAACCGCTGAACGCTCAGACACTCACAGGTCCAAACATCTTTGCCTCCATTTCTTCTTGTTATTTTTCAACAGACACAACATGGAGTTTTGTTCCAGCTGAGGAGCTAGTTATGCAACCTAACCTAACCATCACTGGTTACAGGTCAAAACCCATTGTTGTGCTTCACCAGTAGGGCTCCTGAAGTAAACTGATTAAACTTTATATTATCTCTCTGACACAAATGTTGTAACTTATTGAACTGCTCTGCCTTTCCAGAAGTAGGACCTCACCTCTGTTTGACTGGAGCTGTCTTGTGATAGAAGGGAATCAGAGAGAAACAGAGTTGCACATCCAACCTGAACATGATCTCAGACACAACATTTCTGTGTGTGTAATCACTATGCTGAAGTAACGAAGCTTAATCAGGCTTAGGTAGAAACAGGGTGTCATTGACTTCTTCACTTCAGGGAAAGTACTTTAATGTCTTCATCAGTTTGCAGGAGGATGAGGAAACCTCCTGCAAAATTAAAGTTCCCCCAGCACATCTTAAAAACATCCCTCCAGCCACACATGATCATCACTTCTGAGGCCTCAAAACAACTGATCATGCTGGAACTTACAGTGCCCTGGGAAGAGCGGATCAAGGAGGCCAGCGAGAAGAAATGCGCTGAGGACCAGGAACTAGTGCAGGGAAAGGGGCTGGAAGACATTCTATGAGCCCATCGAAGTGGGATGAAGGGGCTTTGCAGATCAATCACTCTGCAAAGTCCTCGGCCGGCTGGGCGTGGCTGGAGCAGCCAAGAAGAGGGCCATCCAGACTGTGAGTGAAGCGGCAGAGAGAGCCACAAGGTGGCTGTGGATAAAGAGAGCGGATCTGTGGGTAGCTATTGTATGCAAGTTGTGGTCTGATCACTCCTGGCTGGGTTGCCAGGGTGAGGATGTATGATGTTGCGAGACCCGAAACACCTGATTACTCCAGGATATATCCCCAAACATGCATACCAGTGCATCCAGGAGATGTTTCTTGCATAGTTAATATTAAAAATATTAAAAAGTACATATTAATTTTTCTGAAGTTTGTAGCACTGAGGGCACTTTTGTACAGTCTCTAGTCATTATTAGAGGATCTGAGAGTCAGAGACAGATGTTACTTTGCTGCATGAAGCAGTGCAGGAGCCAGATCAACAACTGGCAATTATTTTAGAGAACTACACACAAAGTACAGGATCCACTTCCATATACCAGAACATGTACGCATGAAATTGTATATGTTGGTAACACCATCGAATGATTGTGATCATTACAGGGGCCCATCAGCCGCAGCAGCAGCTCACGTTACCTCCTGACGTCCCCATGGATACTGAGGTATATGTGTGTCTGTGAAGTGTTTTTCTGAGCAGTTAATGTTGCAGTTTGTCAGTTTGCTGACTGCTGTGTTTTATTCCCACAGAGGACCCATGAGCCACTGCCCACCTCTCTTCCTGATCAGGTAATCCAGTCACAGGCTCTCATACTTTCATTCATTCTTTTGTCACATCAGTAAATTTATGATCAGTCTGTTTTCTGTTTTTATGTCCTGTAGTCAGACTACTACAAACTGACTCATATCCCACGTGGTTGGTGCGTGGTCTTCAACAATGAGAAATTTACAGGAGGTCTGAATAATCGAAGTGGAACTCAGAAGGATGCAGGTACAGTTCTTGACGTTAAACAGTCACATGACCTGATTTATGGCTGTGTCCCAATCCAGCGACCACACGCTTTGTAGTATGCGCACTTCGCGGACATGGACATTTATTTTTAGCTCCATTCT